CACAGCAGGCACATCAACATCCATCCGTCTGTAGACCTCACCGTGTTCATCAGTGCCTCAATGGACAACACAGCCAAGGTGAGCACTCTTATGTAAATGATTGATGTGATAAGAGTTGTTGAAAAATGTTAGAAATAAGTAATAATAAGTAAGTTTTGTTTTTTTATCTTAAAAATGAAACCTGAGTTTTTAGTTTTTGAAGGTGAATAAAGAAAAGAGTTGTCCAGGAAGATGCTCAGTCATCCAGGTTGAGGTTCAAGAGTTCCGTTAGGCAACTGGACGTGAAATGTTCTCAAGAAGACGTTTCGCCTCTCAGGCAAGAGGCTTCTTCAATTCTAACTGGTTAAAGGCAGTACAGCAAATTTATACTGTGGGTGTGACAAAAAACGTCAGGTCCCTTCTGTTGGATTGACCGTCGGGGTCATCGGGGGAAGTGTTAACAGTCGTTAGGAGTTCGATTGGTCGTTGTAATCCTCATCAGAATGGTTTTGGTACGTGAGTGGTAGGTTGTGTCTTAGCCCACATTTTCCTTCAGTCTGGGTTTGTTGGTCAATCTGTCTATACTACAGACCATGTAATGTGAATCCACTGACTTGTAATTTTAAATAGACTTTAGAATATTTGAAGTACATCTTAGGAGAATTGAGTGGTACAGTTTGAAATGAACTGTCTGTTATGGTTTTGTGTTACTTTTTAATGTTGACAGATGGCAGTCCAATAAAGCGAAGTGACTTGTTACGTTCACTTGTCCTCTACCAGGATTTTTCATTTGTGATAGACTGCTCGGGCTGGACAGATTCGTTCTCGCAGATTTGTTCACAGATTTGTTCTCAGTCGTTCAAAAATTCGATGTCACAGGTTTGTTTTTGCAGATTTGTCTTTGCAGAGTTGTTTCATTTTTTCTTGTGACAGACAGCTCTTTGCAGTCGTTTCATTTTTTCTTGTGACAGACAGCTCAGGTCTCTTCTGCTGTCATTCATCTTAGTCACTGTTACACGGTTAAACAATGACAGGGAGGATGAAGGACACAAGTCCACATCTGTGGTGTGTTGTTTTTTTCTTAGGTTTTCATATGGTTTGAATTGCTTGTGGCATTTTGTGTTTTTTTTCTTAGGTTTTCAAATGGTTTAGATTTTGTCAGCGGAAGCAAACCATGTTGCCTTCAGTATTTAGTGTCAGAGAACCACAGCCTTCTTTACAACACCCACAATAGGGCTAAAGCGCCACCTGCTGTAAAACGAATGAAAGGATTTGTTCAGGACTCATTCATTTTACTGTTCGAGAGTCAAAGATCCGACTCAGTAAAAAGAGTCGGTCTTCCCATCACTACTGTTAAGTGAAAATTCCATGTCCAGTTGCCTAACGGAAGAGTTATTGTTTTCCTTTTAACGCTTGGATTTGTCGTTGTTTATATACCGTATGTATGGAATAGTCAGGTGACCCTCCAGAACAACATAAATGTATTTGAAGATATTTATTGATAGTTTGTTATATAAGTATGTGTAAACTGAAGTTAACATTGAAAATTTGTTGAGGGTTATAAGAAGATATATCAAAACCCTCCACAGTAGTAGTAGTGGTTACTTTGTGTCCACTTGTCCCATTTGTTTACAATGAGATTTTCCTTCAGTCTAGTTGTGTTGGTCAATCTGTCCATACTACAGACTTTGTAATGTGAATCCACTGACTTATATTCTTAAATAGACTTTAGAATATTTGAAGTATATCTTAGGAGAAATGAGTGGTACAGTTTGAAATGAACTGTCTGTTATGGTTTTGTGTTACTTTTTACTGTTGACAGATGGCAGTCCAATAAAGCTAAGTGACTTGACTGTCTGTGACTTTAAGGCCTTGAAGAGAGATGACTGCTTGAATAAAAGTTTGCTTAGTTCAAAGCTGACTGTGTGATGCTGTTAAAGGCTCGATGTCAGCCACCCAGATAGAGTGGAGTAAAAATGAAATTATTATTTAATGTTGGTTTTGGAATCCAAGACATGGACTGCCAGCTGATGATCACTGTACGTAGTGTGCAGGCGATGTTGTACAAGTGACTGAGTGCCATGTGTTGTCTCCACAGCTCTTTGACTCTGCCGCCATTTCTCCAATCATGGAAGGTAAGATTAATTTGTTGCTGTGCAATGTGTATCCTAATAGATCAACAGTGACCTCCAACCTTGTAATTGTGTGTGTTGTAGGTGCTTATGGGAGGAGGCCAGGAGGCCATGGAAGTGACCACAGCTTCCACCAGGATTGGCAAGTTTGAGTGCAGGTGAGTTGAAGTGGTGTTTCCAGAGTATTATTTTGTGGTTGAATAGAGTATCCAGTGACTGTTGGCTTTATCTAAACAAAAGAAACAGATGAAGAAAATGTACAGATGTCCCTTATTTTATTGTAGTGTTAGCATTAGCACTGAAGAAATCACTATGTTGTATTACTGTTGATAGTGAGCAGCCATAGTGATGTGTAAGCATGTAGTTGTTGGCAGTGCTGTGGGAGGGACTACCTTTGAACCGGCTTCTAAGGAAAACCTTTGTTTGTGTTAACATGTGGTACAGTGACGTGTTCTTCTAATCTGCAGGTTCTTCCAAGCTGTGTACGAGGCGGGGTTTGGCAGGAGTCAAAGGTCATTTTGGTCCCATCAACTGTGTGGCTTTCTACCCGGACGGCAAGAGGTAAATGAGTTCTGCTAAACTTAAGAAGCCTCTTGGATCAGAGGCTAAATGTCTTCAAAAAAACCTACACAGATAGCTTTTGATTGTGTTATTCCAGCTCATTGTTGTCACTCATTGTGCCTTATATGTTATTGTCTTAACAGATGCAATGAAGGAGAAGACAGCAACTTGGACTCTGCCAGGTAGAGTGAAGAAACAACTTTATTTGAAGAAGATCACTTGTTGTTTGCTGGACTTGTGAGTGTTTTACTGGATTGTGTAATTGCTTGAGAAAAGTGTAATCCAGGTCATTCCAGTCATTGTGCCTTAACCCTTGTGCGGTCCTTCGCATTTCTGTACACACCGTTTGTCCCTGCAAAGAGTATTAATGAATATGAGGAAAAGTTGGCACAATTAATGCAGTACAGGAACATTCACACGCACACACAGACACCCAATGTGTCTGTGTGTCTGTCTTCACACGCACACACAGACACATTGGGTGTAGGTGACCC